AAAGTAAAGAGATTTGATTCGTCGCATTACCATTTGTGATTTGTTGTTGAAATGTAAGGAAAACGATCCATTTCTGAAGCGACTCATAATTAAAGATGAGAAATAGATTGTGTACAATAAAAATAAAATAACGCAAAAAATAAACGCAAAAAGTCATGGAGCAAACGTGATGAACTAGCTCAAAGTACATCGAAAGCTGATATCCATCAAAAAAAGGTGATGCTCTCTATCTGGTGGGATTGGAAGAGAATAGTTTTTTTTGAGCTGCCAAACAACCAAACGGTTGAATGTGTATTGTCATCAATTGAACAAATTGAATTATTCCATCAAATAGAGAAGATCAACCAGAATTGGGGAACAAAAAAGGTGTTGTGTTTCATCATGACAACGCCAGACCTTACACAAGTTTAATGACTCGCTACAAGTTGTTAGTGTTTGGATGGGATTTGCTACCGCATCCACCATATTCACCTGATCTGGCATCATCCGATTATCACTTGTTTCAGTCACTGCAAGATTCTTTAGATGGTAAAGATTTCGATTCAAATAAAGGTATCAAAAACCACTTAATTCAATTTTTTGTCAATAAGGACTAGAAATTCTACGAGCCTGGAATCATATTACCTCAAATATGGTAAAATGTGTTAGAACAAAATAGTCAATACTTAACTTTTCTTTCTATTAAAAATATCGTCTTTCATTTTCATGCAAAAGACCGAAATTACTTTCCGAACAATTCAATATGTACGAATAATATGAAGACGGATGCGAGAAGCAGACATGGTTGGTATATCTTGTAGACAATGTGAATAGCAACGAGAACTGAATGATCATCGAGAACTTAATGCGGATTATGAGGATGTGGCTTCTTTGGACAAATTGGACAGTTAATATTTTACGATGTAATAATTACATAAAGCATTGTATGTGCAAGTGCCCGTGCGTATGCGTATACATGTTACAGAATGTATTAAAAATATTCAAGTAGTGACCTTAGAGAGAGAATTGTACGGCGATTAATAAATATTATATTTAATTTACATGTTTCTTCTCCATTCAACAGGCACAAAAATGTTGCTTGTAGTCTATATTAACGGAATCTTTTCTTCCCATATTATCATATTATCATATACATCAGGAATAGTTATTTCATCCGATATCTTTGCGCTGATAAAACCAAGCATCATCTTGGATTACGTTAAACGACGATATTTAATAAAAACGCAGTTATAACAACTTAAAATATTCTAAAACATTTGAAAATATTTGAGAACATTCGGGAGGAATTCCACGGAACATTCGAAGGTAAATGGAAGAAAAGCGCTACTGACCTTTTTTAGATGTTTAACTTTTAATTAATGTATATTTGATATATTTAACACGTTAAACGCAATAGCGGTCCCTACGAACAGGCACAAGAGTTTTCGTTTAGGCGGCATTGGTTCTTGAGGACAAACAGCATCAAATTTAGAAAATAATATAATTCATTAATGGGTTTTATTAAAACAGTTTAGACAAAAATATGCTTTTGCCATAATATCTGCTTGGTTGCCTTTTGGATCGGATCATTTTAAATTTTGATTATCAGCGTCATTATGTTATAGTTTATATCTACATTGTCTAACGAACTACCATCTCCAGATGAGCGCAGTAGCCGATGATTTTTAGATTTTTAGATGGCAAATAATTCACTTGATGTATTATTTTATGATTCTGTCAGCATTTTAAATTTTATGGACAACAAAAACTTTTTAAAATACTCAGTAGATGTACTCTGGAGAACGAAATTGTACTGTGTCTTTTATATGACTGACGATTCGTTAGTCGTCACGACATTTCACCATTTACTTTTTCCCACTCACTTTTTTCCGTTATCTTTTGTTTAGCGTGCCGCCTGAATAAAAAGGCGGCAAAAATCGGCGCCGCATTTAACATTTTAATTATTCGTGAGCTGACACGGTACGGAGATTTCCCCCATTTCCGTTGTGACTATATAACATTATCATCAAATATAAAATGATTGTAAACCTATAGTTTAGAGTCTAATTGGTAGAGCAGTCTTTAGTCTAGCGAGTTAAAGATGCGCATTTAATTGTGACCTAGTCTAAGTTTATTTTTGTTTTACCGAGTCTAGGTTTATTTTTTCCTTTTTTGCCCATCTCATAGTGTGACAAGCTATCCTCTCCCTCTCCTCCTCCATCAAATATTTGATGCTGGCTGTCAACGATCAGTTGTTAGCTATCAACGCAATGTCAAAAATCTGATCATTTGTTTTGAATTAAAATCTCTGTAATCTTTCTATTCTTGTCTTTCATGCTGCTATTGTGATGCCATATCAAATAATTAACAGTTCAAGAGTATTCGTAAGACTCTTGCTGGTGCAATAATTTCTAAAATGAAGTTAACACGTAACAATTTTGTTACAAATTCTCTTATTATAAATTATTTTCAATATACAATTTTTTTTTTAATTTAAGTCTTAACAATTTTTAACGTACAGTTTTTATAAAATTTAAGTCTTTATATAAATAATGAATTTATTCCTCTTTCTGAGTATACAACTGGAAGAAACTTTGGTTTAATCTTAAGATATCGAATTTGCGAACATAATATGTTCGGGAGGGTTAGAAAATGTCGAAATTATTTATTGGGCATATTTGCGAAAGCATCTTCATTATACCAACTACGCATAGTTGGCTCGAGTTTATAAGCTCTCTCATAGTAAAACGAACATTAACGCGTATCGTGTTCAGAAGTGAAGTATCCAAGCGCGTAAACAACTTCCGTCAAAGCCGCAAGACGAAATCACTACTTTGTAATCGATATCGCAAGTATTGACGATCGTGTCCAACTTTCGCTTCAGCTCGCGAAATATCGCCGCGTTCGCGTTTCCTATTAAATCAGTCATAGAACGACTTTGTTACATCGTTTACTCGTGTAAACGAAAATTGTAAGGAAGATTTATGTGACGTCTGCTTTGACGGTTATTCAGTTAAACAACATGCGTTTTGTAGCAGCCAACTCGTTCCAGCTACGATTAAGTGTACACGCATGTAGAAGCACAAAGCTGTCACTATGTAACTTCAGTCGAGCTTAAAATACGATTGAGATCATCGATATGCTGCGCTGTGTCGGTTTGATAGCTTGGCTCATGCTTTTCTGCTCTTAAAAGGAATTTCACATGTGAAAATAAAGCTCTCACTAGAATGCTATTAATTACACGATTTTTCATAGAACGTTAAAGCGATACGTACATATAATGATGCGAATAATCGTCCCGTTCATACGGAAAGGATCACGGCTGATGAATGGCGGTTTACGGCGCTGATTCCGCACTTTTCAACGACTAAATTTCAAGCGCCGGCGCGACCACAAACTTTCGTTATTTATAGGCTTGCGTCTTCTTTGGGGTGCGTTCACCGTGCGATCGTAGTCACATTCCAGCGTTTATTACGTTAGCAACGGTATTACGTTGTCCGAGAGAATTCACGCAACCGAATTTATATGCGCATGTGCGTCACATGTCGCCGCTGACGAAATTAAACTTTTGGATGCCGTTCCAAAGATGACACCCGGTATTTCGTTTTAAGTTTCATGAGGCGGTCGACAGATTATTTCCGCGATGCCTCTTATGAGTCAAATTCTCGTCGATCAGCAGTTCATCGCAATTCTTCTTTCCGCGCACACGTTCTGTGTACCTTCGTAAACAAGAAAAGCTACCTTTACTTTCAGTGACGCTATCTGTCTGTAGTCTGTGGTCTCTTCTAGAAATTTTACCTTCAATGTCACGCGTTTAATTTAAAAGAGTAATTTCTAGGAAAACATGAAATATATGACGTATATCCGTGCTTCGTTGGAAAAGCTTTTTCTAGACAGATGACGGCAACGTGTATAAATATAAAACAGCGTCAGAACAGACACACGCATTTTTGTAAAAAATTTTGCAAACTGATATTCTCAGATTCAATGTCCCGTTATGTCTTCAATGAAACAGTCGCGTCGGAATATTCATTTCTTATCTGCATTACGTTTCAATTGAAGATCTCGCATATTATATTATATATATATAACTGTTATGGTTGATCGATGCTGATATTGTTGAAAATTACGAATGACATGTTATGACATTACCAATAGGTGTGCCCGGAAATAGTAAAACAATAGCGGCGTCGTTAAACGCCGTGATCATAATAGATTATCGCGCCAACCTCGTAGGAAGGTAGGGAGAGTTGCGTGGCGGCAGAGGATATGACATTGAACTTAACTCGTTAATAACCTCCGGCCATGGTTGATACGAATGCAAACATATTGTTTCGTTCTTTGTCAAATGTAATCATATTAAGGAAATTATAAAATATCTTTTATCATGCTTGAATTGTTTCACGTTTAGATTGTGTAATTCTTTCGATATTTATTTAAATAACGACTAATTATCTTTCTCTTACCGCATAGTATATTCAGGTGTCCACATCGATCATTATTGTTATTATGAAAACAGTACTTGTTCTCAGGCAGGTTAAAATAATTTTTAAGAGAAGAGAAAACGGAAGAACAACGAGTGTAAATTAAAGTCGATGGAGTGCTTTCGTGAAATCATTTCACGGTCGTTCGCAATTATAATTCGCCACGTAACACATTCAATTGAGCTAATTTTCAGGTCGCGATTTGTTGCTACGATTTCTTTATTATATTCTTTGTTGTATTCGCATTTATTATGCTCGTGCAATTTTGTGTATTTCATGCAATTTTATGTCGTTGCGTATCACTAACGAGTGTTTTTGTTGGCGTTATACTTTAAGCTTGAAAGTCCGTCAGTAATAGCGACGTAAGACACATTGGTTTCTAAATTTAATCAGAGGACCTAAAATGTGCCGGTGGTCTCGCGATATCGGTCAAACGATGATGAGGGAATATCGCGCGTCGTATATCTTTCCTTACTTCATGGTTGAGAGCTTACAACTTTGGAAAAGACAAGGTTACTTCACGCTGACGAAACTCACCTAGAACGCAAGATGTAAGAAGAATTTGCAATACGAGCTTCTTCATAATGCGAATATCTTCGTGAGTGCCAGCACGTAACGGTCGTGGACACGGAGGCACGTTCAATCGGAATAAAAAGAGCGGCGCGATTTACGTCAAGCACGCGTTCTCGCCTAAATTTAGATTACACTGCAATAATAGTGTTGGCTGTAGCGCGGAAGGCTGGCACTGGAGAACAGCGGAGGAAGACTTTCTGCTCCGGCACTGGAGCAATAGGACTCTTCCGGTGTTGTTGTATCAGGTGTATCGGGCCGTATAAACGCCGAGCGATCGAAAGCCAGCTCTCTATTAGAAGACGTCCAACCGATAAAACCGCAAGCAGTTCTTGCTCGCACGATTCGTCTCGCGAATCTTCCTTTATTCGATATCTCATCGATCGAACTGTATCGCTGTAGTCCACCTCGATCTTGCGGCTTTTCGCGAAACTTGATTTTGCGCGGGAAACGTCGCGCCTGTTCGTCTACTGATATCTTCAAATGCGGTCGCGTCCAAGATCGCACAGAAGCGATGGGAAATTGGACCAAGACGGAACGGCGAGCAGTACAATAACATTCGCGAACGTACGTTATTCACCACGATTACCTAATGCGAATGCTGTCGAAGCGACACGCGACTCGAGGGAGACTGATCGTCCCGACTCTAATTCTCTGTGTCTCTTCCTCCTCTACCTCCTCTTCTTTCCCACTAGACTGCCTCCTTCTATATCGACGTTAACGTGGAGGCGGTTATGCCTCGTCGAAGATTCACGGTATTTTCGTATAGTCTCGTGGGGCCGTAGCGTGAAGTAAAAAAAATGAAGACCGCTAATAGAAAGTATCGACATCGATCAATTATCTTTGAAAAATGGGATGAAATAGAAAAGTTGTGAATTTTATATATACATGTAAAACTTTGAGAGTTTAGAATTCTATGCGAATTTGCAGAATGATCGACGAAATTTTTAGATTTTTGTATGCGTTACGATATGACTATTTGATCGTTGTTATCATGTCTGTTGAATAACAAATATATCTCAGAATACAACTTATCATGGTAAAATTGGATAAATTCACAGCAATTATGGAGATAACCTTCTATATGCATTTCGAAATTAATTACCGGAAAATAGAACTGCATCCTGATTAAATTACGGAAGGTCTTAGTTAGTCATTAAAGATTTGCTTAATAGCGCGATCATTATAAGGATTTAGTACGGTAGAATAACCTTAACCTAACTTAAAAGATTACGAATTATCTCGTAATTGATAAATGATCTTCGACGCGACATTACTGCAATTAATGCAATCGATGATAATCGTGATGTAATCTTTACTATACTTTATAGTCAAGTATGTTGTTTTAGAAATCACATGAAAAAAAAATTGAAAACTTTTTTCTATATAATAATACAATACTATAAAACTCTATAAATTCTATCGTATATGTTATGCAAGTAATTAAAAAAACTATCAATAACGATTAAAACAAAGTTAGAAAAGAATTATGAAGGGATATCGGAAACAATAGAATGATTTGCAATATATATATATATATACATATATATATATACATATACATATACGTTATATATATATAACGTATTATCAATATTTATTTATTTCACTGATCATGATAAAGTAATAATCACGTAAAGCTGTTAAAAGTAAAACCCCGTTATCACTAGATCGTGTACTGTATTTACAGGTATAGTTTATATCCGGTTAAACTTCGTGTGTGACGTATTTTTCTTCTCTAACGATACACACACACACACACACACACACACACACACATGCACACGCGCGCCCATACATACATACACACACAAGAGACGATATATATATATATATATATATATATATTTCTTCTTTTTAGTGCAGAGCCCTTGCTCAACGTACAAAGATTGGGCGAGTAAAGCTAAAGTTTAGTTTTTATTCATTTTCTCATTTTTCTTATTATCGCTCAAATCATCGAAAGCAAACTGTAAAATACCGTCGTCGCCATAAGAAAAGATTATTGTACCAAAAACCCCGTTCAATGAAGTAGTTCAAGTAAAATACTCTAGTTAACAATAAATTATTAAATATCTATTCACAAATGTATGTATAGGCTATCGTTATTACTATTATCTCATCGTCGCCGAATACTGCCATTCTCACCGTCGTTTTCAGTGTCCTTATCACTATTCTTACATATAGACACGGCCTATGGCTTACTGTATTCATGTTGTCAATAGCGACCGGAAACTCACGAGGTTTCACGTCGCGTCTCCCTAATTCGGCGACATCAAAGTATGAGATGATTGCCTGATGATTGCACCACGTGTGTGCTAGCATCCGCGTTATATTTCTTCTTTGCGAGTAGTCATCAATAACGAAGAAGATTCGCTATGTCACCTCGTCTATTTCCGAGCCCTAGTTATCAACATGGATGATTATCTGTGATGATGTGTTACAAAATGAATCTTGTCCGCGACATTTAATCAGATGAGACATTGTACACTGTTTTGTGGAAGTTGTCTTGAGTGGGTTGCATCAATGGTCAATTGATTGTGATTTACTTGTATATGGACGTTCACACGCAAAGAATCGTAGCTCTATGCACGTGGAATGTATAACCATTTTATACTCGCAAGTATAAATCACGATAAAAAGCAATAATCTCTTTATTTCTCCTTCTGGAATCACAATTTCAATTACGACGTAGTTCAAGGAGAAAATTAGTTATTAGCCGACTCTCTTGATGCAACTCCTCTCTAGACGATTGTTGAAATTGCGTTTGATTTGTAACAAGCATCACAATTAGAACAGGCGAACCTCTTGGAAGTCCGACGGTGATGTGGAACATAAACGACAACATGATTATTATCGACTATCGCACGCTACATCCGACACATAGCTGCGCTTCCAAAGATTTCGCTAGCATTTCGGACACGTAAGAGTGAGTGCTTACACGCACGTTTTTCTGCGCATGTTGTGTAAATTTCATAGTATAAATTTCTCTATATGTATATATTCTCCGTCACGCGCTTCTGTTGAAGATGACGTTTCAAAGCCTATGCTTTTGGAACTTCATCTTAGCGGTAAAATCTTAGCGCGAGAACTGCAGGATGCACTATGTATACATTAAGTAACTTTCCGGCCGTTCTTATGATCGGCGAGTGCAATTCCAACAGATTGATTGTTCGGAAATTCAATAGAGACACCGCCACGGTCAGATTTATCGGAGCAAAATGCTTTATAAAACTAGCTCGTTCAACGTGGGTAATTGATAGAAAATCAGAGTCTATTCGTGTCCAATATTCAAAGACAAAATTGATTATCTCTGTTGATGTAATCGCAAAAATCTTCCGTAGCAATAATTACAATTATAAGTACGACCCTGAACATCGCAAAAAAATGTGTGTTTTCAAAACATACATTGTTTCTTTTTTATAAATTTTATGTAAATTTCGCTGGATATCGCGTGGAAGCCGGTTCATACGAAGCGGCTTTTATTCCATTCGGTACAAGCGCTATATAATTATATGGTGTTTCATCTACAATTCCACTCTACACTTCACACTCTTCTTCATAGAATATGACTTTCTTGTGTATCTTTATATACAGGTCTACCTCTTATTACAGATTTTGCTAGTTACTCGGCTGCTACGTTGCTTTACAACTACACTCGACTGACTCACGTTGATCGCCATCATTCGTTGCGAACATGTGATCGCATCCGTGTTTTCAATTTATACCCTTTCCGGGGAGAAGGGAGAGGAGGTGGGTTGTTAACCCTTTATTTCATTTTATTTCGATTTATTCGTATGTAAAAAAGGGGAAGGGAAGGAAAGAACACGCATTTCCGCATTGCAATCGTGAAAATGACAGTTGTTTTATGCGCTTTTTTCTTTCTCCTTATTGGGTAATTTTAATAAACGACAGGTAGGAAGGAATGGGGTATAGCAAAATTCTGGATGATCAAAATCTTTTCAAAGAACATCGATAAAAATCGCGAAAAAAGACGCATGTGAAATGTTAATGTTACAAAATATTGCACGGAGGCGTTTTTAAAAACATTGGTTTGACTAAACGTTTTCTAGCTAAACGTTTATTGCTATTTGTCTTTTTTCCATTTTCCGTTTTTGATTGACTGACAGTTTTACTTTTAAAGTTTTAGTGCTACGAAACAAGTTTACATCGGTGTTTTTTCCCTTTTTTTTTTACTATCGATGTAACACTTGTTCTTATTTAACATCGGCTGTATAAAAGCAGTTTACACGTAGTTTCAATTAATAACAACAATCCACTGAATTTGCACACGATATAACATGTCAAAAACAAATATATAATTTAGAAAGATATTGACATGAGATATTTGTAATAGATACATTGTAGGTGCGTTATTAACAATTTCATCAATGCAATCAATGTTATTTTTTTTCAGTTGTAACGAGACAAAACTTTTCCAGTCTTAATTAAGCGCATCTTTGCGCATTTCTCTGGCAGGGTCGTCTTTTCGTAAAAAAAAAAAAAAAAAAAAATAAAAGCACTTTTAACGAAAAAGAAAGAAACGCAACTTAATTATTGACTCTCCCACCGTAATAATTGGACAAGATTAAAATATTATGGACGTATACAACGTCACGAATACATTTGTCACGAATAGATCACGAATATATTTAAGTATTGATGAACCGCTTTGCGTTGCAGTTGGAAAAAGGAAATGGGCAAAGCATTCATACAACATGTTTTCTCATTTTGAATAGTTCTCTCGTTCGTTCTTTCATTCTCACTTTTTTTGCTATTTACAAACGTGTGGCTTAAATAACGTTCGTTAATATTTTCATTATCTTCTTTCTCACTATCATTCTTTTCGAGCGTTCTCTCTCTCTCTCTCTCTCTTTCTCTCTCTCTCTCTCTCTCTCTCGCTCTCATTTGCATTTACCTAAAATAATTATTTAGATATTTTTAATTTAAAATGTATCATTCGCTACACGTGATCAGGATGAGAGACAGACCGATCTTCTTTAATCTTTATTAATTCGCTACTACACTGTCACACGAAATGGATCAAAATTAAGACTAGTTACAACGTGCATTACAAAATTAATTCTATTTTTGCAATTGCGACTTTGGAAAGTTTATATCCCAAATATAAAATATATAAATAGAATGAAATAAGAATGAATAAAAAATAAATTTTATTTTATTTTTATTATATTTTTATTTAGCCGTAGTATATCGAACTTTCTCTTGTAATATATACTCTTTTATGATACTTTATAAAAATCGACCAAATATTTGTTCTAAGTTAATACAAAGTAAAATGTTGTAAATGTTATATAATTTTGATCCATTGTATATTACTATCTTTCGACTTCGTTATTGCGAATTGAGAAGAGTCGATGTCACCCAAATTATCGTAAACTTGTCCGTTTTATAAAGGGGATGCTGGGCGGTACAGAGGATTGCCTTTGATGGGAAGCACGTGAGCCTCAGAGTTGAATACCCAGTCGTCTAGACTTATGAGATCATCGTCGCTGAACAGAAGATAGAGATACTGCAAAAAGAAAAAAAATTTTCACTATATTGGACTCTGCAGTATATATTATTTAAACTTTTAATAATGCTATTTATTAAAACGTTTCTCTATCGGATGCTGCATTTATTATCTTTTCCAGTAAATATAAATTATTTTATACTGACACGGATTAGTTTATAATATATTATTCATCTTACAAAAAAGAATATATTATCGTCGTGTTGTAAAAATTGTTGTACAATATGTGCGTAGAAAGTTAAATTAATTTAATGTCATAAAATTAATTGAATACATTTTCGCGGTAAAAGTTGCTAAATTTTAGTTTTGAAATAAAATCTCAATCAGTTTAATGGTTAGCAACGTAAATATTCAATGACTCTATGAGACGTTTTCACAAATATTGACTTGTTTTTCAAATATTATATGAAACTTAATTTTACGACTGCCTTCAAATATGATATCGGTCTTTAGTCTTAAACAATACATTTATGGAAAAAAATGTAAGTATCCCGTACTTCAATGACTTTAATTTTCAAGGATACGATAATAAAAGCCTCATAGGAAACTTAACATTATTTATAATTAATTATTTCTTACGTCTTAGAGAACGTTGTATCTATACCTTTTATTAAAGTGAAAATTTTTGAGGGAGGGAAAAAAGAAAGAGAGAGAGAGAGGGAACGGGAAGGGCTACACAGCAATTTGCAGACGATAGAAAAATATTCCATAAATGGCAAAATTCTTGACAAAATGGGATATTAAGAGAAGTATATCTCATTATGGATATTTGTTAAAAATTTATTGTAGTCAAATAATTGTTGTATTATTTAATACTAAGAGAAACGAAAAGTTTTGAATTGATATTAAACGGGCAAACCGGATGTAAATTTGTGAAATATCGCGCTGTCGGGAAGGTATAAATAATAAACATTTAAGTCGGTTTTTATGAAACATAACGCAAGTCAAATCGAAACGATGCTCCGTTTCCTTTTACCTTTAACGTTTCAGCAAAGAAGTAACTTTGTTGGACATCGTCTTTCGCGGAGTCGGCCAGGTAAACATTGTTAAGTCCCGTGAATCCCCCGGGGACCCGGCAATGTTTCTCCAGTGCTTGAACTGCCTCCCAACCCCATTCGCGATACTTTGGATCCTTTGTTAGCCGCCACATCACGAAGTACGACTCGAACGTCTGTGAAGAAGTATATCTCGTTTTATCGTCCGGAAGATTATACCGGTTTTGTTTTTACAGGAAACAAGAAAGAAGACAATTATTTATGCATACTCTTTACATATAATCTTGGTTGTAGATTGCATAAACATTTTCTCGGTGACTGAACAGAAGAAGAATATGTGAATTGCACGAATATAAAGTAGTCCGAGATGAATATAGTTATCTCTTTTCACGTTGTTCGAAACACGACATTTTTGCAGGAATGGATAGTAACTAATTAATCAAGTTAAGTTAAAAAATTGATAACTTTTAACTTTTAATTTTAAACGTGTTAATTTTTAACTATTAAACTATTATTTTTAAATGCATAAATGTTAACTTATTAACTTTTCTTAAATTACAAGTTAAAATAATTTATCAATATTAAAGTCGTGTGAAAATAGTTATGATCCACAATAGTTATTAAGGAATTAATTAAACAATATTAGTGAACGCCGTGCGCATGATATAGCGAGATGATCTCTGCAAACAAAGTTTCATTCAAAATGACTTGAATTTATTGATGATCTGGCAAAGGCAAACGGTTCATGATGATAGACTTTGGAATTATGCAATTAGTATCATGTGCCGCTTGCAGATTTCAACAGATCATCAACAAATTCGAGTCATTTTGGATGAGAACTTGTTTACACAGCTTCTTTCGCTTCCCGCGTACTCATTCCTTAACATTGTTTAATTAATTCCTTGATAACTAATCCATAATTCGTAAAATGGTACAAGATTTTCTTATTCAGTTTGATTTGCTCTACCTGTACACAAGCATTTTGCTTTTCACTGTTTTTAATCGGATCTTAAGCGTTTTGTTTTTAAACACTTTAATCTTTCTATTAAAACCATTGTATTTTTCAAATAATGTATATTGTTAAAAAAAGAAAAATATATTATCTCTTTTATAAAATACCGTCTTTTTATTATTTCAACTAAATTTAATGTACAATTAAAAGGTTAATTATTAATTAAATAAAAAATATATAGCTTAGCATAATTAATTTTTAACTTTAAAAAGTTAATTTCATTTTTTAACTCAACTTTTGATCGAGTTAGTTTAAGTAACTTTTAACATAAATTTAGTTAATTTATAAATCATTAACTTTAAAATTAACATAGTTTAAAAAAAAATTAACCGAACCCTACATTTTCAATGACTTTTCAATGCAAAAGAAATCTCTTTAGGAATATGTTATTAAATGTTTTATCCATTCCTATCAGTTCACGTTTAGTCTTGTCTCAAGCAAATGGAGGAATAACTTACCTCAGGTCGCAGGATATAATATTTCTCGCCGTTCTTTAAACTTCTGGCCTCGTTGCCCTCGATGAAATGGAAAGCTTCTGGGCCCAATTTTGTCACGCTTCTGTCGTAAGATTCGTGGCACGTGTTCGTCAGACCGGCAGCGATGTTCATGTACTTGTCGGATAATTCGTTTTCCACAGTTTTAGCTCCCAAAGCAAACATGCCGCCTACAAAACGTGCCGATAACATTACCGCTTTTAATTGTGCGTATTTGTTGAATTTTCAGTTTGTTAGGAATTTATTAGTGCAAAAAACAGATTTCGTCTTTGAACATAAAGTAGAACGGTAGAATGAATAATTCGTTCCAATTAGCATCACGTCATGTGAATTTGTTTAATAGACGATTAGAAACCAAGTAAACATAGGAAATAAGGAATCTGGGAAGGACCACTCGAGATTGATGTCTTTTTAGTTACAACTGCGGTATAAGATGCTAATGATAACGCGCAAAAACTTACCGGCAAAGCAAGCCAAGTGACCCATTTTGTGCTCGAGCCTGTCGTATTTTAAGTCCGATACATATACAAGTTTGCCAGGGGATGTCTTGATCATGTGCTCGGTTATAGCGGCTATGGCCTCGTCATACATTTCGCGTGCCTCGATATCCTCCTTGCCTGATTGAATCCACGCCTTCAGCAGGTACTCATAGAAACTGTCGCCGAGTCCACCAAGCGACATATGATCTGCAATTCCGTCGTAAATGAATTCCATGTCAATTCCGCGATAATTCGCGATACATTTTTTCTGAAATGTCTTTGAGCCGTATACTTTAACCGTATCCGCGTTTTTCTCCACATGTAGATTTTTAATAACTTTAAATGAACTTCTTCACAATTGAATATCTTTCGTATACCACGAATGTATGAAATGTAGAATCAAATAAATAGTGAATAAATCCGCTGCTGTCAAAAAGGTATATTCGAAATTTACAAGAAGTCAAGGGGAGTAAAAGAAAACTGTTTGACGAGATCGATCGATTATCTTTAGCACACTCTGATTCTCAAGCCCTTAGGTTTCGGAATAATTTTTAATGAAAAATTATTATTAACTATAGTGACACAATGAGAAACGGCTCATGTTTCTCGAATAAAAAATCGAAAATCTCTGACGTGCTCGTCAATTGTTCTTGTTTCCCGATCCTTTCACGCTGGAAAGTGGAATTAAAGATTTGCAACTTACGAAGGGTCTGGCTTTGCCGTATAGAAGAAAGGCCGTTCCGTTACTTTAAGAGAGATACCGCTTTAAAACACAGACAACAGCGATAGTCTCTGCGAGATAAAGGAATGCTAGAAGAATCTTTCTCCGGAAAGAAAGGGTCTGTTATCCGCGCTAGAGGGCTACTTCGACCATGTCTGAGAGTGGTGAAACAAAGAGGAGACCTTGATTTCTGCCGGGCTAATTCTTGGGTGCCTTGGGCTAGCTAAGAACACGGTATCCACTTTATGTGAGGTTCGCGCCGAAAGGAAGTACAACTCGGCTTTATCTCTTTGATCACTATTTCTTTGAGAACTCGCTAAGAACGTTACCGCGGGAAAGGTTACGCGCAGGGGTCAGTCGAGCGATATGAGATTGAACTTTTGTTAAACAAACGTCGATTATATTTTGGGGACGAGAGCAAACATACTTCAGACGATGACGAATTGACGTGCGAAAACTGACGATTGTCTTGTTTGAGATATCGAATTCACCGAATGAATTGTGTTTCGGCGCAACAACAAATTTAAGCATTGGCACAAATTTAAATTGTGCCAATGCTCGTAATTAAATTGAAATTTCATATTCCTATTTCTTTTTCATGTTTGTTCGCATCCTGTTTATCGAAGCGTCGCTTTCGTTTGTCTGAGCGGCCTTTCTTCCTTAGTGTTTTCGTGCGATATGGATGTCCACTGGAGCGGAGCCGTGTGAAAAACGTGGGAAGGATATGCGATGAGGTCAGTTACCGAACGGTCTGGATGATATATATCCCGGAGGATCATCATACGTGCAATGAGAAAGTATGCGAACACAAGCACGCAGGATGGGGCGAGGCGCGGGGGGATTTAGGACCTGAGGCAGAGAGGATGATAAATGCGATATTCAAGATCGGCTACGGCGACAGCGGTGTCGACGGTGCTATATCGAGACGACAACGTCTTTTCCGCGAGGCGGCGGGCGGGCGGGCGGACGAACGGATGACGCGGTGCAGCGTTATGCGATGCGAAGTGGCGAAAAAAAAGACAAGGCGGTGGCGATCGAAGGCGGTGAGCCTGCAGGAACTATTTTGACCGTGCAATCGATAGCCGTCAGATTAAAAATCTATTTCGCGCGAGGCGAGACGAGGTGAGGTGAGACGAGACACGGCACGGCTCGGCGCCCCGCGCACGAAGATTTATTAAATATGAAATTATAGTAATAAGCTACTGTGGCTGGCATTTATTTCCGTCCGTTCTTCGTTCGACTGCAGGCGCCCTTCGATGTCCTCGAGAGATTTTCGATCGCGAATGCAAACGTCGGCTGCTATATTACACGTATACTTATACGCACACACGTACAGGGTGTAATAGCAACATACATGTCAGTATGACGGATTGCTTGCTCCTATTCGGATGATAATGCAGAGGTTTCCGAAAAAGTTACTCGTTGACTTTGTTGATAATGATATTTGCAGTGTTCCCGGTTATGACAAGTGCAATTAATTTTGCACCATGTTCGTTATGACAGTTTATCGACCGTTTACCGACAGGAGTCGAACCTCATTGAATTAAAAAAGATGTTTAAAAAATGAAACTGAGAAATTAATATTACGGAATAAAGCAGAATAAATAAGAATAATATTTAAAGAGATAAATAATGCAACATATTTCCTGGTTTTGCATAATTTCTTAATTGTTTTCTCACGTTGAAAAGTTCGATAGTAGGAGGTAGGGGAATGGACATTACTCAAAATTGTTGCAACAACCTAAATATCGCTACTTAGAAAATTTGTTGAAACCGATAGATGAAATTGGATACTTTACATTCTCCGATAACAGCGACGTGACAGATAATGCAAATTTTCTGATTCTCTTTAAACAGAATGGTACCAATTTGAAACATGTGTACAACGATCATGTGAATACCGACATGTCATATGAAGATTTCAGTGCATTGTGTCGCAAATGTTGGGAGGATAAATATGGTTTCACAGTGATAAGGACAGCTCAATGACCAACGGACGATACAGGAAAGGATTTAACGACTTTGCTGTGCTGTGAGATGCTCAATCGTCGTTGCAACCTCAACGTGGTAACATCTTTAACGTCCACGAGACAAATATATCAATGATGAATAGTAGCATGAAGATTGAGAATCGTGGAAAGGTAGCGGAAGAGATTGCGAAAACGAGCGAATCGATCCGCAAGAAGTATCGCGCTTTGAAAACCGATTTCTGAATTATTGAGAATGCTGCATTGGAGAGACACTTTAAACCTATTATTGAACCTCTCAAGCAAATCGCGGGAAGCAGCGCTAATGTGGAAAGTAATGTTGATGTTAAAACTGCGCCACTATCAATGAGTACAAGCGAAGAAACAAAGAGTGTAATATTAAAACCCGAAAAAAAGATAAAGCGTAAGGCGAAACTTTCACCAGCCGCATTGACTCCGCTGAAACGGAAACTATTCAAAGATCCTTCGATAGTTTCTACATCGACGGGAGCTCTACAATATGAGGAACCACATGAACCTTCACCGATCAACAATCTACTCACTAATGATGATGATGATGATGAGAATGTTTTCGAAACCCCCGATAAACCGGTAATGACATCCGTTATACGTCAGTTGCGAACGTACAAAGGACAACAAACTTTACATGATCATTTTGGTCCGTTGGGTCAAAAATATATGGGGGCTGTGCTAAGTAGTGGAAAAGATAACACTATAGATTATGTTTACGTACGTCTTAGTAACGATGGAGCAATGCTCGGTGATAAACGTGTCGATGTGGACAGAGACGATAATATAATCATAGGCGAAACAGGATACATTGGAACACCCGGTCTTTACGAGCTAATATTCAAAAGAATCCCCGACGATTCTGTGTACATCGAGGCTGATATGCAAAAATACAAAAGTATACTATTGGCGACGAATGCTCACAGACGCGAGTACCTCCCGCAAAATCCGATACTCGGTAACAAGGGACACAAATATACTTTAACATTCGACATGGCGTATTACGTAACAAAATAAAAAAAAGCAAGTTGGCTTTTTTGTCAGTGGTCTGATAAAAACATTACTCACGCTCTGAATATTGCGAAGAAAGTCGCTTAATTAACGCGATTGCGCAACGCGAATATCTGTATCCGTTAATCAGGAGATATATGCGTAATACACATTCTCCCTCCCCCGTGACAGCTAATCAATCGCAGAACGACGGGCAAAAAACAAACATTTCATCGCTCATTTATCTCATTTCGTGCGAGATAATCAAACTCTCTGCGTACGAAATCGGTCAAGGTTCGAGATTTTTTTTTCGTTCTCCCGATAACGCACAATGACCCAGTGTTCGTTATCTCGAACGGAGCCTAACGAGATATCTTATTGCGTATGTCACTATCGTGCCCTGGTCGAATTAATTTTGGCGCTGATGCGGAAAAAATGCAAATTATTGCGACAAGTGTTTACTGAAGCTGGCGCATTTTTGTATCATCGAACGACGACCCACTCGTAAGATAATGCTCCCCCCTCACGTTAGGTCCAAACTGTTTATCGTCGCACAATAGATGAATTGTGATACTTGAGAGAAGAGAGGGGCGACATATCGCGTCCGATGGCGAATAAACGATAAACATATTTTCGCCCCGAATGATATAAAAAGAATGCTCAACGGGGAATTGTCAACGGGGAATAGAGTGACCGTTACGCATCCGTTCGAAGCACGTTATCAAATTCTCCGTCGACATGTGGAACCACGGACGTTATTTGCTCAACTCGGACCTGCTAGCAAACGAATGCAACAATTTATTGTTAGAGTAAGTATTTTTTCCGTTCGATCAAAAAAGAAGCAAAATGACTTTGTTGTAAAAAATATATTTGATTTGTAATTTTTTTCATAATTTGTTACAGATTAATAGCTACAAATGAGCACGCGAGAATTCACCTGCCACAAATTCACCGTTGAACACAGTATTCACTTTTATGCTACCATGTCTCTTCATAACGCTTCGCACATGCTCGAGCACGATATTCTTCACATCTTGGAGAAATCGAAGAGGGTCGATATAGTCTGTATTTACAATCGCCCCGGTTGATATGCGACTATTGAACGCTGTATCGATTTCTCGCCAAACAAGTATCGAATGTCCGGCTCCTGCGTATACAAAACGCATTTTTTAAACCCTCGAGTTGCGCTATACGAGCAACCATCGAGTGCGCTGAACCAACCGATAGTCGTGGTTGTTTGGCTCGGCTATGCTGTTCCAACGACTCGAGACACTCGTCGCACTTTTGTTCCCATGCGAGGTATTGGTCTAGCGAGCCTAATTGAGCAGCCTGGTTCTGCAGTTCACGTTCTACGGTTGATAATGATGATAATGATGATTCTGCCATTTTTCTAGCAAAACGTTGTAAACACACTGTAACTGCGCGCTCTGCTCGTCTTCGATTAAACTATAGAATATTCTGCTTTGAACATTTTATAGCCCTTAACTCTTTCACAAATACATGCCATTATCAAAATTCGGGAAACTTCCTCGACGAACTATTAAACACATTCCTGAGTCTTAAACTCATATCAACTCGTTGTGGACTTTGCCTAAGTGCATGCCTTTCTTTATCTGATACAATAATAGACTTATAGACCTATGATTGGTATCAGCAGTCTGGCGTTCACTCTGTTTGTCTTCGACTAAATTATAGAATGTTCTGATTTGAACATTTTTATAGCTCTTCTGTCTTCCACATGCGCACACACACATATCGTTATTACATTCTTCCTGCTTCTTTTTATCTTGTATAGTGTATTGGATGAAGTTTTTGTACCGTATATAAGAATTCTGTTTTAAATATGTCATATTAGTGCATACATATTGAACACAGATTACATAGTGTTATTTGGTAGACGGGGTTTCTACAGTTTGAACAAAATACACCATCAATCACATCGTGTCTTTCGGTGATGTGTTTGCGCACTGCAAATATTTCTGTAACTGTATCGCGAACGCCATCAACAAAACATGATGTGCAGAACCGTAAATTGTCTCTAGAATTATATGAAAAATAAATGCAACACACTTTTGTTTGGCCACTCAAAGTATTAATTTCTGAAACTTCCAATTTCTTCACTTTTTCATTCACTAATTGATTACTATTGTCACTATCATAATTACTATCATCCGTGAGTATATGATTTATATCTTCTTCGTCTTCTATTTCTTCGTTTTCTATTTTTTCGTCTTCTACTTCTTCGTCTTCTATTTCTTCGTTTTCTATTTCTTCGTCTTCTACTTCTTCATGCTCTATGTTTTCACGATCCATACTGAAAGAGCTCTGACTGGTAAATACACACAAAATTAAATCTATATGCTTCACTTTTGCCACTCTTCTCATTATTATAACTCCCGGAAAAACCTAGCCAAAATAGTCATATCTTTACATGATGCAGCACTAAATGCTTCACAGGCATCCTATGGTAAGATATGCATACCTTTCTTTATCTGATACCACAATAGTACTTGTAGACCTACGATTTGGTATCAGCAGTCTGGGAGGTCGACGGCTGACAAAAATATTTTGGTCAAAATGTGATATTGTAATACACAGCACCATTATATTGCAGCGTTTACAAATTGTAATAAAAGTATAAATAAATTACTTTGTTATATATTATGATACATCTTTTTTACTTTAGACCAGATCCTTTCTTCCAACTTCCCCTTATCCCCTTTCTTAGGATTTTTTATGTTAATTATGTTAATTATATTGATAAAAATACCTATAGATGTTTGATAGACGTTCGATAGACATTCGTGAGACGTTCGAGAGACGTTGGAGAGATGTTCGATATGTAACTATTTCGGTCAAAACATACTAGTTATTTTATATAAACACTGTATATAATTTCAGTTCGCTGTATATTATTTCAGTTTGATAATTACGAGGGGACATTTAAAACACATTATATGACATTTTTTCTCGTGACGTATGCATGACATCACGGTCACCATCTTGCGTGACGTCCCACCACATTTTTTTTCTCGTGACGTATGCGTGACGTCCCACCATGAGTTCCCCTTCCCCGCGCGATGTCATACCCCGCGCCCTGAGTTTCCCGCTTCCCCCGCACCTCCCTCAGCACTCCTGGGTTAGAACCGGCCTAACTATTCTACTACCGGGAACACTGTAAATATCATTATCAACAAAGTCAACGAATGACTTTTTCGGAAACCTCTGCATTATCATCCGAATAGGGGCAAGCAATCCGTCATACTGACATGTATGTTGCTGTTACATCCTGTACGTACTCACACGCATAGATACGTGATCGAAGGTAAACACGATATTAATTTCGCGGCGGTATATTTTCATGTTTTGCGATTGGACTTCGCTCCGCGATGATCTTATCTATTCTCGAGCAATTGGCGAATTGGCGATTTTTTTGAGCAAAGTCACGATAAGATGTCAAAGTGTCACTTACGTTGACCCCATTTGCCCGTCCTTGGATGGATATAATTCGGGTAGAGTCCTCTCGGCTTGTCCAAGCTCTTCAAGACCTTTCTTACGTTCTCGACTTTACTCTTGAACACTGGATTATTCGTTATATCGCTCAAGTAGGTAAACTCGAGATGCATCGTTCCGATCTCGGATAAAATACTGCAACCGCTGCTCGCCCAACCGTAATTCTTGCTGGTCTGAAAAATAGATGTAACTTTCTAACTCGAATACATCGCCCGCACCTGCGGTATGCGAGAGATAGGTCAAGAGCAGTATACGACTTTTATCAAAAGATTTGGGCGTAACTCGATGCGTTTTTAGACGATCGAAAGTCACCGAAAGCTTATTACTTTTCTGTTTTTTTATTATTAATTTTTTTATTATTAATAAGAAAAAGGGGATGGCGGGAAGGGTGTAATAAATTTGTCACGTATATAAACGAGTCGTAAGCTTCTTTTTATCTCTATTTTGCCGCGGCGATATATTTTCGATTTTTTACTTTAAACTTCTTTTTACGATCAGTTATTCGAATAAATATTTTTATCAGTAATTTAATGATATGAATATAATTATAAGAGCATTGTAGAGACATAGTGTATTATATTTTTCACGAAGGGATGCATACATATGAAACTCATTCAAGCTCATTTTCTGTCCGGCTCCTGCGTATACAAACTCAGAATAAAATCACAATATAATGTTTCCCGAGTCGATAAATACTATTCGCCGTTCTGTGCCCTTTCTTTCGCACCGTTTAAAGTTAATGGAAAATTATGACGTTCGTGCAATCCTGAAGACGAGGACACGTTAACATCCAGCAATTAGCCGCGCTCGTTATAGGACGTTAATACGAATTATGAAGTCATCAAGCGAATAGGGTCAATCGGAGCACACGTGTCGTGACATAATTAAAATCGATTCCCTCTCATTTCTCATTTTCTTGCCCTGTTGCATCCTTGCTGTGCGTTTGCTTGTTACTTCGTTTTCGCGCGTAAGACCGCACATGAGATGCGCTGCATTTTGCAATTATCACTCTTTCTATTTGCATCTACGGCTATGATTCACTCAGCTATAAGGTAATTTATACGATTATTGCAATTACAAAGTTTCCCTCCCTTCGTTTTTAGTACTCCAATCACGGACGTATTCTTTATCGAAATCGATGTTGTGATCCGTGCCCATGGACATGTTCTCTTCAAATCATGATAAGATAAACAGAGTGTAAAGACAAGCAGGTGGTGCTTCGTAATATCGATTTTGTGATAGGAACGATTTGTTGGTGCAAGATCCTCATATTTATTCGCACTATTATTCGTGTAATTCACTGCAAACCCGAGTGTGTTATTTTGACACGTATAAGTTGAAGCTTTCTTCACGTGTTTCTTGTCGACTGAAATCACGTCATTTGATATATTTCGATATCACTTAATGCGTTTAGACGCGTTAAACGACGATGACTTAATGACAACAAGATACGTGTAAAGGAAGCTTCAGTTTATACGTGTCAAAATAACATATTCGGATTTGCAATATTAGTGATATAATCGTGTCATACAATTGACTCGTTTATCTTAATAGCCTGCAAATTTTGAAACAACATGTAATCAATAATTAAATATATGCTATTAGCAAAATTAACTTTTGTCTGAATTACAGATGTCGAATATGTCGACCGAGAGCTTCTCTTATGTTCAAATTAATCAGCCGCTTTTTCGATGGAAATTGCTCTTTAGTTAGTCTGTATAAATAGTCGCGCTTGATCGCTATTTCATTGTCGAATGATCGAGACAGATCGGGGAATAAGAAAAAGATAAGATAACGGAAAGATACGAACTGGAATATCTTCCATCATAGGGGAAGTCAAAGCCCGCGTATCCGCCTCTCGCGTTCTCGTTATCCATCCAATTAAGAATTTGCATATTAATCGCGCCGCTAGTTCGACAGACGTGACTTGATGGAATCGTTTCAATTAAAGCGCGACATCATTCGTCGCATATGATACTTGATAAGAAGCGCGCAAAAACGGAAACGTCACATACCATGGTACATGTCTATAAATAGTCTTTTTTGAATTATAATTGTACGCAATACCTCGCATTTATATCACGCGATACATACGCAAGCGGATCAACGCATCGTTCACTGGTGAAAAAATTATAGCGAAGACGTTCACATTTCGACGATTCCGTCGACTATTTTTATTGTCATTTTAATTGGGCAAGTAAAATTTCAATAATTTTATCGACTGATAAATTTTTAGTTTACGAAGACCATGTTGAATACTAAGCATGTAATCAGAAACAATTCCGTAGAAACTTGATTAATTTCTTATAACTTATTTTTTGCGTAAGTATAAAAAAAATTATGTAACGTAAAACTAGTAAATATTAACTTTCGGATATAAATTAATAATTAATTTTTCAAAGATTTTGTTCTAAAAAAACGGTTTGTAACTTTGGAGTTAGAATAGAATACAATATCTATATATACATATAATTTAATTTAAGATTATATCTATAAAGCAATATGTAACTTCAAAGTCATATAGAGAATTTATGAAAACAAGATTTCATAAACTCTCAGATCGATGTTTGTAGCAATTGGCGTTTTAGAGATATATAAATTTTATAGATTTGCGATATTTAAAGTCATATGTTAACAATAGTTTTGTTTGAATAAATTGGCAGTAATCATTCTTCGACGATAATTCGACGGCTATAGCTCATGACAATTTCTAATTTCTAATGTTACAACGTTACAAAACAATCATTTTGATAATTAAACACGCCTTGGGCAACATCTGTTCTCTTTTTGACCGTTAAGTGTCGATTTTAATGACGTTTATTAAGAGCATATCAGTGGTTTCGGTGCAGCCTGCATGAACTTGTAATACATCCGCGCGATAAGTCGTTTTACATTCTTCAGTACGTTAAATGAGGATTCTTTTTCTAGGAAAGAAAAAATAAACTAACTTAATATTGAAGTACATCGAACCCGTTCCGAGCGCGTTGTGTCAGTACGAACAGTGGCGAGTTATGGCAATGAAAAGCCTGCACTTACTCCGGTATGGAGGTTGATGAGGGAATGAGGAATTCCGGTTTCCGTCTGGAAAGCAGGCAGCATCCGTTCGCCGAGCTGCGCCGCCTTATCCCGGAACATCACGTCCCCTGTGAGAGCATAACAGGCGAGCAGGCTTCCCATGAAACGAATGTTCGTCTCGAACAGTGATATTTCGGAATTCTGAAACAATGTCCGGACAAAAGCCTCGTATTAGTCAGATTGCTGATCGTTTAACCGCGCGATGAGAAAATGTCCGCGACACGCTCAATTTCGCACATACATTCAATATCCTCTCATGTATGCGCCCTCACATTCGATTGAATGTCAAATATTGGCGCGTCTATTGCGGAGTGAAATATCTTATTATTACTTATTACAGAACTTAATGCAATTTATTACATCTTCTAATAACTACAAATTCGACCCAATGCGCGAATCATTCGAATGGCATGCGCAATTGGGGTGATTCCGAAAACATACAACGTCGTTGTAACACACAGTTGTGTAAACACAAATTGCGTATGTCGTAATATCTCTTCGATAATGAAAACGCTGCGATGTTTTTTGCCGTATAATAGATTCCTCATCGACGGTGATCATTTGGCTTATTATTATTGGCTTATTATTCATCACCAGTGTGACGGCCAGTATACGACACACTGATACGGAAACAGGACGCGATGCGAAAGCTCAGTGGCATTAGCCGCACCGCGAAATGGAGAGTAACGATCGTTAGCGGTTTCGCATCACCCGGTGTGCGTCGCGGAAGAGCGGGAAATTTCTTTTTTTCCTTTTCTTCGTATTTTTCGCTCTTTACGCTGGCGCCGCCTCCCCATCTCGAGCGTGCACTCGCGTTTTTCGCTATTCCCGTGAGCTTTTCGCAGCAAGGCCGTTCACGCGTCAGTATTATCGTTACATATATATAGTCGCAATTAAAGTTTTTCCGAGCGAGTGCCCATGCGTGTGCGGCTTGGTCTGGCTTAGCTTAGTTTCGCATCGCACGTAGAATATGCATCACTGGACGTTCGCGTTTTCTCATAATTCAGCACGGATAACGGGTAAAAGCAATACACGGAGATTCTGATTGTGGTTACGTTAATCGTTCTCGTGGTGTGCGAGGTCAAAGGACGACTGCGTTCATCTGTCTAGCGATGAGGATTCTTTATTTGCTCCTGCATGAACGTACTTTTCAGCGTTTTTCAATTTTGCACTGACAAGGGAATCGGAGACTAATTACTTTTAATTTTACGCCCGTTGTCTCATGCTTGTTGCGCACATGCATATATTGTTAGTTTTCGAGCGACTGTATTCCCGCGGAGCTGCGCGAGGACTTCCGCGGATAATATCAACACCGAGAATGCCTGAAAGACACCGACACAGAAATGTCACAATTCATAAAAAGCCCGAATGCGCGTATTGCGCGGCGTAATAAAATCTCACGTATGCGACGGATATAATGAGTGCTCTGGGAAAATACATACACACACACACACGTGCGCGCGCGCACGTACGTATATAAGCGTATTCACGAAACAAACGAAACAAACGAAACAGTCGAGATGTAATTTTCGAGATGCCTGCGCAAAAAACGCTCTTTTGCGACAAAAGAACGAAATATAATTAGACGGCTCAGGCATGTGGCGTTCCGCAAACACACCATACAAAAATTCTAGATAGTAAAACAAAGGTGGCACGCGTATTTTACATGCGCCGGCATAAGTGTGTCCGGCGACGGTATAACCGAGTTAAAAAAGGCGCCTCGCCAACATTGCGAGAGTGTTATCAAAGCTCTCGCCGTCATTCGGAATTACGAGTCCGGGTAATTTTCATTGTTTCCGACTGCGTTCCCCGCTAATGAACTAAATAAAAGAAGCCGGCGTAACTACGAATTTCAGATCGAACTTCACGCGTTCCGCTTCATGAGAAGCGCGCGCGCGCGCGATATTGGCGCGAGTCGAGTACACAAGAATGCGAAATATAAAATTCTCGAAAGTTGGTCAATGCGAGACGAGATTCGTCGAAAGTTGACGGCGTATTGTCAGGCCCATCGGACAAATTTGTCGCGCGTGACAACGCGCCGCGCACTCGTTAAACGTTCAGTAGTCGCCGCCGTAATTAGGAGGATCTGAAAACGCTTCGGCGCAGAACGGCGGAGAAGATAATGATGCGTTGCGTGTAAAAGCGGGTAAATTGGCGTTGTTCTCACGTTTACGAGGTATTACGGCGCTAATTGACATTTATGATGCGCGCTGCGATAGGAAGTGCCATGGGAAGTTTGTAAACGATATGTCTTTGTGCGTCGATTACGCTCTGTGTGCTAAACGTAGCGCGTGAATTTTGGAATTACAAATTGTACATATCTTGCTTTTTTTTCATATTCGCGATTTGCCGGTACATAATGTTCTCGCGTGATTAATTATATTTGCCGCTTAATGTAACACCATGCGTTAAGGGATTAGGCCACTTTGGGCGGGTAAAAAATCACTATCATTTCTGAGAATTTTTTCTGAGGATATAACAAAAGAAATATAAAAATAAAAATAAGGTATATATTAAGCAACTCTTTAAAGGAAAAAAAATACTTCTTTTGTAAATATTTTAAACAAAATAGCAGCGTTGAAGCCGAGACACTTTTTGATCAATGCTCTCAGTGGTGTTCAGTCTCACGGCTACAGCATTGGATATTTAGAAATATTTATTTTTGTGGAAATGATAAACACTTGAAAACAAATTTCATGTTTTGATCTAAAAATTTCGTGCAAAAGTGTCAATTGTAAAAAAAGTTTTTAATATTTCCCAAAATCCATATGTACTTCTTCAGTTTCTAGCGTCTAGATAATAAAAATTTTTTCGTTTTTGTTTTACGTCCAATGCTGTAGCCATGAGACTGAATACAGCTGAGAGCGTCAGTCAAAAAGGGCTTCCAGTGTCTCGGCTTCAACGTCGCTATTTTGTTTAAAATATTTATAAAAAAAAATCCTTTTTCCTTTAAAGAATTTCCTTTAAAGAGCTTTCTTTTTGAGAGTTGCTTAATAAATACCTTATTTTCATTTTTGTGTTTCTTTTGTTACGTCTTCTGAAAAAATTCTCGAAAATAACAATAATTTTAACTCGTCCAAGGTAGGCTAACCTCTTAACACCGAATGTTGCGTTTTAAGAAAATAACTTATGAAAGCCACAATTCCTGTCCGATATTTGGCGATATGTTTATCGAAACTTTCTCACGTGGGAGAAAAGGAAAATAAGCTTGTGGCTCACGCATTAACCGGTCGATCTTTGGTTTATGAGGTCTTTATCTCTAAAGGACGAGAGTGATGTTACTTTGGTCATCATATATGTATGTGTGTGTGTTGTATTGCTCTGCTATCCTTTCCGGTTCGTCAGGCGTGGCTGATTGACGCGTTTACCTAGAACTTGACGCTACGTTCTTATTAAGGTCTCTACTCGTTAAGGAGCAGGTGTTTGGTTAACGCATAATCAGATTCGGCCTTTGGCGATGGGATATTGAAACGCATAATTAGGTGATTTTGTAATGCCGCAACGACTTTTGCGAAGACCATAAAACGAAGGCGTAGATAGGAATAAAATTTTCGTCCGACATTTCTATTATATTTAATGACTGGTGGACAGTAATATGCACCTAAGTAGATTATCGTCACTCGAATATCGTTTCTCCTCGTCTTTTTTCATCTCTACTTCTCTCTTTTTTCTTTCTTCCTTTTTTTCTCTTTGATTGCCCGTCTCGTTCTTCTTTTCTTGTCCGTTATTCTTGATGGCAACGTCTATCTTCTTGCGGTAACATCTCGCGTTCGAATTAGCATAGCTGCTAATAACGCTGGTAAGTTTTAATGAAAACGTTATATTTCACGTGACTGCATTGATATTCGCAATCGCGTGCACACGCGATACAATCCGTACAACCATATTTCTCTCTCGCGCACATGCATGCGTGCCATAACGCATCTGATGAGCCGTTGATGTTTAACACGCGAGCCTTTAATTACCTATGCTGCTACTGCTTCAATTCAGGTGCTCGAAACGTAGCATGCCTAATGATCTTAAAGCTTCGCTGAGAATTAGTATTGGGCAAGCGTATTTTTCCCCAGCAACCATTTTTTCACCTTTCTTTCTTCCTGTCTACCTTTCTCTCTCTCTCTCTCTCTCTCTCTCTCTCTCTCTCTCTCTCTCTCTCTCTCTCTCTCTCTCTCTCTCTCTCTCTCTCTCTCTCTTTTTCTCTCTCTCTCCCTCTTTCTCTCTCTCTCTCTCTCTCTCTCTCTCTCTCTCTCTCTCTCTCTCTCTCTCTCTCTCTCTCTCTCTTTGATTATAATTCACGATATTTGTATAAATCATTTTGCTGACTCGCGATATAAATATAACAATTTCGTAATCTTTTTTTATTACTCAACTAGAAATTTATCCCATGGTCTTGATCAGATTAATCTCATTTGGTCATTAGATCCTGATAAGGTAATATTATTAGGTCCTAGTAGTCATGTAACGCAGCGTGGATATTAGGATCTTATTAAGGATTCATAGTCAGGTTCTTATTAAATTATCTTATTGAATAAATTATCTTTCTCATATTTTATTTCAGATTAAAGTTTCTCTGCCTAGTTAAAAATATTTGATTCATATAACGTGTCGAATCAACATCAGAAACCCAATATCAATATTCAGATTGATTCGACGTTGAAAACGTATAAGTATAGAGCTGCCTTCGACTCGAATTTATTATCGTTTCAAATTACGAATCGAACTAATCGACAAATATCGAACTAATTACTCAAGGAATCAATGTATGTGTTTATAATAAAAAAATGATCCCCAATTTTCTTACGTCTCACGACCGTTAGAACTGAACAATTGACACATACACACGCACACACACACTCTGAAACGTCGCGCATCCTTTCCGGCATTTCAATTTCAAGCGGCGCGAGTGGTCATATTCCATTGTCTTGACCGTGGTAAAAATGTTGCTTAACTTTGATAATCGAGCAGCACGTAACAATCCCAATAGTTCCGACAATATTCTTACGATTAATGATTATATAATGTATTCTTATAGAGTTTTTGCAGAACATTATTACATATTAACATTGAATAAATAAACATTGAATAACGTAACAACATTAGATATGCGACAATTGGTACAATATACATTAGCGAACAGTGTGTGT